ACGCACAACCATCTCTAGGGTTTACAGAGAATGGTCCGAAAAAGAAAAAAACATCCAGTGAGCGGCAGTTCTGTGGGCGGAAATGCCTTGTTGATGCCAGAGGTCAGAGGAGAATGGCCAGACTGGTTCGAGCTGATAGAAGGGCAACAGTGACTGAAATAACCACTCGTTACAACCGAGGTATGCAGCAAAGCATTTGTGAAGCCACAACACGCACAACCTTGAGGCGGATGGGCTACAACAGCAGAAGACTCCACCGGGTACCACTCATCTCCACTACAAATAGGAAAAAGAGGCTACAATTTGCAAGAGCTCACCAAAATTGAACAGTTGAAGACTGGAAAAATGTTGCCTGGTCTGATGAGTCTCGATTTCTGTTGAGACATTCAGATGTTAGAGTCAGAATTTGGTGTAAACAGAATGAGTACATGGAACCATCATGCCTTGTTACCACTGTGCAGGCTGGTGGTGGTGGTGTAATGGTGTGGGGGATGTTTTCCTGGCACTCTTTAGGCCCCTTAGTGCCAATTGGGCATCGTTTAAATGCCACGGCCTACCTGAGCATTGTTTCTGACCATGTCCATCCCTTTATGGCCACCATGTACCCATCCTCTGATGGCTACTTCCACCATGTCACAAAGCTCTAATCATTTCAAATTGGTTTCTTGAACATGACAATGAGTTCACTGTACTAAAATGGCCTCCACAGTCACCAGATCTCAACCCAATAGAGCATCTTTGGGATGTGGTGGAACGGGAGATTCGCATCATGGATGTGCAGCCGACAAATCTGCGGCAACTGTGTGATGCCATCATGTCAATATGGACCAAACTCCCTGAGGAATGCTTCCAGCACCTTGTTGAATCTATGCCACGAAGAATTGAGGCAGTTCTGAAGGCAAAAGGGGGTCCAACCCGTTACTAGCATGGGGTACCTAATAAAGTGGCCGGTGAGTGTATATATGTATATATATTTTCCTTGCATTCTTTCTTGTGACACACCTGAATGAAATGAATGCATCTTTGTCTTCTCAGGTGAGAATCACCTAATTATACATGAGGGGGTTGGGCCGTTCACGCCCATTCACATATTGCCTTTCAAACAAAAAAATGTTTTTCACAATTTAACCCTCTGGGGACCAGAGTGTTTTTGGGGCCCTTGGGATGTTTTGACATGCACTGACATTTGTGCTTTTTCAGTTATTTATAAACATGTTAATGGCAAAGGTGTAAATTCACTCTATATAGCACAAACTTGGCTACCATGAGATCTGAGCAACATGTATGTACATGTTTGTATTTTTAATAGAATAATGTTTATGCGTGGTTATTGAAAAAAATAAAAATGAAAGTTGCTGAAATAAGACCACAAAACACATATTGATTATTTCTTCACAAGACTTTTGAAAATTGTATCACATAGTCTAGAATATTTGCTCCAAAACTATGTGAGAATCATCCTGACTACTCATTCAGATAAGTCAATAAAGTCTTTTACATTTTGAATGACGTGTTTTGTTTGAGAAAGCTTTATGCAGGAGGCTTGATCTCTCATTAATATGTGTGGCATTCCACACCTGAGAAAGACAAAGACCCTCCCCATAATGGCCCTATTAGGTGCTATCAGGCCATATCATTACAGGAGCCTTGCACAAAGAATGAGGAGATTTAAAAAAGAATGGCTTTTAGATTGTTTGGATTTATATAAGGAAAATACAGGGTGCATACGTCTGGACACTTCTATCACACACCCTTCACCATATAGACATGGTTTTATTTCAGTTCAAAGTTCAAAGTTAGAGTTGGAAACATCTTGAAAAGAAAATTGTCTTTCTCCATAAATGTCTTAGTTTGATCATACATATTTCAAAGTTGAGGATTCATTATTTTGATATAGCTTGAACAAACACTATAACATCTTAGTTGATTAGTTTATTGACAAAACATACTATATATATTTAACTTATGAGCAGAAACTCCTAAAAAAAGCTTATTTGATGTCTATTTTAGAGTAAAAACTTTATCCAAAACGAGTCAACGAAATGTTGTCTGTTATTTAGTCTGTAACAGTGCGTATCTGTGCGTTCATTCATTCATTCGTTCACACACACACACACACAAACATGATTCACATTTAACAGTATGCTATTTTTCCGTTTACAGACACTACGTTATTCTATATCGCGATTAGAACAAAGCACTTGCAAAAAACACTTACTTCTCAGCTGAATCTGTTCATCCTCGAATTGAAAATAAACCCAGTGGTAAATGTCCCAGGATTGTTCCTCATATAGCCGCGCAAGACGACAGTAGATTAATCTGACTAAAAAATAATGTGTGTTTTCAGAGTTTATGGGCGTTAACGCGTCTCAATGTGTTGCTTCACATATTTGCGTTTGAATAGCGCGTGCTCTCCGTGGGCGTGTCACATTACCAGAGATAATCAGCTGAGAGAACGATAATGAGACGGGCTGACACGTCTCTCTTTTTATATAGATGACATAAATGGAGAATAATAATTTTAGTTTTGAATCGGATCATTTAAAAGTACAAACTCAAATGATTTAAAAGATATATTGCTTATGGCTGGGTGAATAGTATTAGCTGAGTTGTGTTAAAGATTAGAGACGTGCTCCAGAAAAAAAGTTCACGGTGACCGAGAGGCACCCTGTTTATTTTCTTTATTTTACAAAAGCACAATATTTTATTTCGATTGTATGTGGGCACATAAAAAAGTAGACATTTAACAGATTATTTTCTCATATTTCTTAACTCTATATGAACAGAAATGATGGTAGTACTTTAAGTCTATTTTTCTGCTATGTGAAAAAAAACGAGCAAAACGTGCCGGCGCGTTTCTGGTCCCCAGAGGGTTAAAGCAATCTATGGTTTTATGTGAATGGTTAGGCAGGATGATTTTCAGATCATTTTGAAGCAAGTACTCTAGGCCACAACATCCATTAGTCAAAAGTCTTGTAGACACATATTTAGTATGTGTTTTGTGGACTTATTTCAGAAACTTTCATTTTTAGTTTTATCAATAAACATGCATAAACAATATTCTCTCAAAAATACAAACATGTACATACATGTTGCTCACATATTATGGTAGCCCTGTTTGTGCTAAATAGAGTGTAATTTCACCTGTGCCAGTAATATGTTTATAAGCAACTGAAAAAAGCACAAATGTCAGGGCATGTCAAAACATCTCAAGGACCCCAAAAACACCTTGGTCCCCAGAGGGTTAAACTACACAACACCTGTGACAGAATACCAAACCCTCATAACGGGTAATAAGAAAGAAAGAAAGAAAGAAAGAAAGAAAGAAAGAAAGAAAGAAAGAAAGAAAGAAAGAAAGAAAGAAAGAAAGAAAGAAAGAAAGAAAGAAAGAAAGAAAGAAAGAAAATAGTCTGCCTGCTTCTCCTCATGAAGTGGGATCACTCCCTCGAGGATCACACAAGAGACTTCATTGATCTGGCATGCTTCACTCATTACTCCGACTGCTCATTCCGTGCATTCTTCAACACCAGCCTCAGCGAGTGGTCGAAGCTTTTGCTCGAAGATCGGATTCATCATGCTAGTATGGAGATGAAGCTGCTTATAGGTCTGTGCAGAGGACTTGTCTGGTTCCTGTGGTCTTTGCTGAGGATCCCCACTTATGTATTATTTGATGAGCTGGAAGATGTAATGTTGTATGGTTTACAGTCTCTGTTGATCCCGTCCAGTCCCAGGTCATCTTCGTCTCTGCTGTTTAACCCAGTCCCAAGTCGTCTTTGTCTCTGCTGGTTCAGCCCAGTCCAAAGTCGTCTTCATCGCTATTGAATAAGACCAGCTCCAAGTCATCCTTGTCTCCATTGGCTTTGACCAGCTCCAAGTCGCTTTTGTCGCCATTGTCTCTGACCAGCTCCTCTACACAGCTCCTCTGTGCATCTGCCCTGCTGCTCAGATCCACCTTGGGCTTTCCGGTTGTCAGGACCGTCTTGTTCTGAAGATCCCTCCGTGAGGCTTCACCGTGGTCTGTCTTCCCTCAGCCTTCTCCATTGGCTTTGCCTAGCTCCAAGTCAACTTCGTCGCCATTGGTTCTGCCCAGCTCCAAATCTCCTTTCAGCCTTGGGCTTCCCAGTCATCAGCTCCGTCACCTCGGTCATCCACGCCTGCAGCTCCACCTTGGCTCCTAGGCCTTTCGTGTCACCCTGGGTCTACGTCTCCTCAGTTTCGCTTGGGTCTTCACTAATCACGTCGTCACCACAGCCAGTAGGACTTTTGTTCTATCCGGGCTCCTCCCTCGATCAGATCTGCCATGGGCCTTAATCCCATCTCTGCTCTGGGTAATCCTTTGGCTCCTCCCTCCATCGCCTCCTCCCTGGTTCCCCCCTCCATCATCTCCACCTTGGTGTTTTCATCTGTCAGCCCCTCTCTGTCACCTTTGTCTCTAGATCCTCGTCCTCCTCCGGAACCTCCTCCTTCCCGTCTCTGTTGATATTTTGCTCTGCGAAGACACGCTTCCCGGGTGGGGGGGGGGGGGGGGATTCAAGTCTCTTTGTATCAATCATAACACTTATACCTCACATAGTTTTGTTCATTATTTTCAAGGATGAAGGCATGTCATGCTACCTGTGCCATCTATCTAATTTCACAAGAACTTTGATAACAAAATCAAAGACTTTCTCCTCCCCTTTAAAAGATTTTTATTTTGCTATTTTGACTATGCATATGTTTAGTTCTATGTTTAGTTGCATTTTATAAATTTTATTTATATTTTTTTCTCTACTGTACGATATCAGAAATGAATGAAATGTAATAAATCTTTGGTTTGTGACCAACCAGTTCAGAACCACTGATCTAGGCCACAAATAAGTGTTTTTCCCCCTACATTTTCTACTTTTATTTCAATGTTAGATGTTTTATTAAAGATGCATGAAATTGAATTTCTTAACAAGAAATATGATCACAGACATGACCCATGTGAAAACCATGGTTCCATTAGTATGGCTTCTCACCTCTTTGGCATCTCTTATCCTGCTGAGGAAGGTCTGAAGCTCAAGGGTCTCCAGGAAAAGCGCCCGACACACGGCCTGGTAGTGCTCTGGTGCCAAAGCTGGATTTGCCAGTCGGCGGGAACAAAGTGTCATCACCTGATGAACAGTGTGAATGCCATGTACTTTTCCTTCTTCTTCCTCTTCTTCATCCTCCTCTTGGCCACTGTAGCCCTCGTCTTTAGCTGCATTACTGCCACATTGTTTAGATTCGCTGCAGTCCTGACCATTGACCATAAACTCAATGAGCTGTTCTAGCTGAGGGCTCAATTCCCGTTCCTCACTGTCATCCAGTCCCCAGTCCAAAGCACCGTAGATCGCAGCACCCATGGACTGAACCAGCTGCACACATGTATGGTGAAGACATGGGGTTTGTTAGGGGATAGAGACCGCAAATATTACATAATTATATAAACTGCCATAATAGTCTCACCTTTCCATCAGCAGCAGGAGCACAGTTATCATTACTGTCATCTAGAAAAGAAAAGAAAAAAGATTAGAGGAAGAAAACTGCCAATTACATTTCTAGATGTTTTTGTAACTCGACTGATCTACTAACACTCTACTAGTGTCAGAACCACTAGAAGTGAATAAAAATACAAGAAATGCTAAAATTTTTAAATGTTTATGTTTGCTATGCCACATTTGCCTAACATATGAAATTGCTCTCAACTATGTAAGCTAAATATTTGTGCAAGCTAAGCATATAAACTTGTCTTCTATCTTTGTTTACATTTCAGATTAGCAAACTGCACCAAAACTTATATAACTTAAAACACTTTTACTAAATATGGGTTAAATATAGAACTAAATTTGAAATGTCTCATAACAAAAAGCAGGAAATTATTTACAATTTGAATCTCCCACATGCCAAGTCACACAACAGCCCCTTTTCTGCCTACAACAAATAATTACGAAGAATTGTCAAGTAAAACATTTAATTAAACAACATGGCATCATGACTTTGCGTAAACATACACGCCACTTTCAAGTCAAGTGGCGTGTTATCTATACGCATTTTGAGCTATCCGCGTGTATGTCCACGCCGAAACGAACCGTCATCTTTTGCATGTATGTCTACGCCGTTAAATGTCCGAGTGATTCCGCGTGTATGTACACAACGTTAAATGTCCGAGCGAAACAAAACAAAATGTAGTTCCCCTTCGAGGGAACTCGAACTGCGTCATCGTTATGACACTTTGGGAACGCCCCCAGCGTAACGCATCTGAAGCATGAATGAAATCTGTCCAATCCTGATTGGTGCTGCGTCATGACGTAGTAGATGACGGCATAACCGGAAGATACAAAGGTACGCTGGCAAATACAAACAATAGCTTTTTTGCTCTTCAGCTAAAGCGCTCTGTGTCAAACGGTCTGTCTTATTTGGTGTTGTTTGTCCCATAAGAATTGCAATATAGAATCTATAGTGGCTCGGATCTCGCGTTTGCCGAGGCAGCGCGTTGATTACGGGTCTACTCTGCAATAAAGATTCTGTGAATGGGATCTCGCGTTGTCGAGGCAGCGCGCAGATTAAAGGTCTGCATTGCAATACAGAATCTATATTGGCCCGGGTCTCGCGTTTGTCGAGGCAGCGCGTTGATTACGGGTCAACTCTGCAATAAAGATTCTGTGACTTGATCTCGCGTTGTCGAGGCAGCGCGTAGATTAAAGGTCGTACATTGCAATACAGAATCTAGTGGCTCGGATCTCGCGTTTGCCGAGGCAGCGCGTAGATTACGGGTCTACTTTGCATTAAGATTCTGTGTGTGTGCGAGGCATGAACAGTCAGCTCCTGAGGGTGCTGGCTGTGTTCATTGAGAAATATCTCGACGCGCACAGCCGTGCGTTTTCGGGTGTTTCAGCCTCGCGCCCGTTGATTTTCTTCTCGAGAGATGAAAACCAAATATATTGTGAACGACTCGAATCTCGCGTTTGCCGAGGCAGCGCGTAGAGTACGGGTCTGCAATGAAGGGTACACACGCGATCTGTGAAATAATACTGTTTGGGTTCGAGGCATTCACAGTCAGCTCCTGGGGGTGCTGGCAGTCATTGAGAAATATCTCGACGCGTATATCTGTGCGCTGTCGGCTGTTTCAGCCTCGCACCTATTGACTTTCTTCTTGAGGGATGAAAGCCAAATACATTGTAATAACTCGAATCTCGCGTTTGCCGAGGCAGCGTGTATTACGAGATCATATAACACCAGAGTTGGGTAAGTTACTCAAAAAAAGTAATCCACTACAAATTACCAATTACTACTTTAAAATTGTAATTTGATTACATTACTGATTACTGCATGTAAAAAGTAATCTGATTACTAATTACTTTACTTTCAAGTTACTTTGAAAACATATTAAAACTACAAAAAAATACACTACAAAGTGAAACTCAGTTCTTTCCGTAATTTAATTGGGCGAGCTCTGTGGACCCATAGACTATTATGTCTATGTGTGGACCTTCCCCCCTTCTGCCCGCGAGTCGTCAGGGAAACGGGCCAGCCCGCTGTAGTGCCGCGCCGTTAAAGCGCCGTACTCAGCGGGTCCCCGAGCCTTCTCCAGCCCGTTAAAGCTCGCCGGTGCGCCTGCCAGCTTCACCAGCTTCACTCGAGTCGCTCACTGACGGACAACGGCCGCCGCGCGCCGCCGCTTCCGCCTTTAATGACGACGAGATAGCTGCATCTGTAGAGAAGGACCGCGGCTAGCTTTCTTTACGTTATAAGAAAGCTACCCCGCCCCCGCCCCCCGTAGACGTCCGCGTTCTCCGGTAATTCATTAAAGCGCATGCTCATTAACTGACGCAGCCGCGCTGAACGTGATTAGAAATGTATTTTACTTAATATTTTTTCTTAACAATACATTTGTAACGTAAGTAACTTAATTTTATTGACATTAGTAACTGTAATCAAATTACATACATTTTAAATGTAATGAGTTACATTACTGCGTTATCACGAAATGTAATTACACTACAGTAACGCGTTACTTTGTAACGCGTTATACCCAACTCTGTATAACACAAAACAGTATTCTCTGGTAATTATGGCTGCATTTAATTTTAAGAAATTAAAATGATGAAATATTATCCGACTTTAAGGAAGTTAGATATTTTAATTCAGCCTACCACTCAGACCGTGTTTCACATGCAGTGTTCCTTCTGCACATCAAAAATCGTTTTTCGATTTTTCCCTGCCGGTCCTCCGCTTCAGGGTCGAAAACGAGACAAAAACAGCAGGGCTATCCCCCCCGTGGAGGGACGAGCGAGAATCGCTCCTCCGCGGAGCCCTCAGGAAATCGATGTTTGTATCCAGCGTCAAGTGCGCTCGGGACACATCGGTTTTCAGCAAATGCACGCTGCAGTGTCCGCCCCAAGGGCTTGCGGCCAGGCAGTGCTCGTGTTCGCCCATCGGGAACGGTTTTCGATTATTCCCTGCCGGTCCTCCGCTTCAGGGTGTCGAGAACGAAACCGAAAGAGCCTCCCTTCAGGGAAGCCCTCAGGAAGTCGATGTCTGTATCCCGCCGTTAAGTGCGCTTCGGGACACATCGGTTTCCAGCGAACGCACGCTGCTCTGTCTGCCCCACAGGCTTGCGGCCAGGCAGCAATCGCGTCCGCCCATCGAGAATCGTTTTCGGTCAAACCCTGCCGGAGATCCGCTTCAGGGGGTCGAGAACGAATCCCGATTGATACCCGAAGCCTTCCGTTCTTCCGGATTCTTCCGTTCGGCCTAGCTCTCTCCCCTCGCACTTTTACAAAATGCATGGATGCAGCTCTAGCACCCCTGAGGCTCGAGGGCATCAGGGTGCTCAACTACATCGACGACTGGCTGATACTGGCCCAGTCGCGAGAGCTGGCGATTCGGCATCGAGATGTCGTCCTCGCCCACATCCAGAGCCTGGGGTTGAGACTCAACACAAAAAAGAGTGTGTTGACGCCCTCCCAGAGGACTACGTTCCTGGGAGTTGTATGGGGATCCACGACGATGCGGGCACAGATATCTCCTGCGCGCGTGGAGTCCATACTGGCAATGGTCTCCAGAGTGAAGCTAGGCCACAACCTCACTGTGAAGCAGTTTCAGAGACTGCTGGGGCTCATGGCAGCAGCGTCCAGTGTTATACCTTTTGGCCTGCTACACATGAGACCCCTACAGTGGTGGTTGAGAACCAAGGGATTTTTCCCGAGGGGAAATCTGTTCCGTATGATCAGGGTAACGCGCAGATGCCTTCGTTCCCTCGTCATATGGAGGAAACCTTGGTTCCTGTCCCAGGGACCGGTGCTGGGAGCATCATGTTGCCGGAAAGCCGTTTCAACAGATGCCTCCCTCACTGGTTGGGGCGCGGTCATGGACAGCCGCTTTGCGAGAGGTCTGTGGGAGACCCGGCACTCTTCCTGGCACATCAATTGCCTGGAAATGCTGGCGGTCTACAAAGCTCTGAGGAGTTTTTTCCCGGACCTCTGCGGCCACCATGTCCTGATACGCTCGGACAACATGTCCGGAGTCGCGTATCTGAATCACCAGGGGGGTCTGAGGTCGCGCCCTCTATGCAGACTGGCACACCAGATCCTTCTGTGGTCCCAGGGGAAACTGTCGTCTCTCAGAGCGATGTATGTCCCCGGGGATCAAAATCAGGGAGCAGACATCCTGTCGAGGCAGGGGCTGAGGCCCGGGGAGTGGCGACTCCACCCCGAGGTGGTGGAGGCCATGTGCGTGTGATTCGGCCCAGTGGAAGTGGATCTTTTCGCGTCTCGAGAGACGTCCCACTGTCCACTGTGGTTCTCTCTCAAGTATCCAGCTCCGTTGGGGCTGGACGCTATGACACAGACGTGGCCGAGGCTGCGTCTGTACGCATTTCCCCGATCGCTCTGCTCCCGGGAGTCTTGGAGCGGGTCCGCCGGGAAGGGATCAGCCTACTTTTAGTAGCACCCCTCTGGCCGACCCGGATATGGTTCTCGGACATTGTAGCACTGCTAGACGGCCTCCCGTGGCAGGTCCCTCTGAGGAGGGATCTGCTGTCTCAGGCAGGGGGCACAATATTTCACCCCCGGCCAGAGCTGTGGAACCTCTGGGTCTGGCCCCTGAGGGGGCTTGGTACCTAGAGGCTGGCCTGTCAGCAGGTGTTGTCGAGACCCTACTTAGCTCCAGGGCTCCTTCCACTAGGAGACTGTACAGCCTAAAGTGGAATGTGTTTTCCACTTGGTGTAGAGAGCGTGAGGTGGACCCAGTTAACTGCCCAGTGGCTTCAGTGCTGGAGTTTGCCCCTGGCGGGGTTAGGGCCATCTTACATCCTAGACCGGGCTATGTGCCCAAGGTGCCGTCTAGTGCGGCACGGTCAGTGGTTCTTCAGGCCTTTCATCCTCCACCTCATGGGACGGCGGAAGAGGGGAGACTTCACCTGCTCTGCCCAGTCAGAGCCCTAAGGGTTTACTTGGAGAAGTCTTCTCAGTGGAGGAAGTCAGACCAGTTGTTGGTGTGCTTTGGT